ACTTCAATCCGGAGGTGCCTTCTCGGGCCAGGTCGGTAAAAAGGTGCATGGCCAAATCCCAACGCTCGGCTTTCCTCGGCAAGTCTAGGGTTTAGGGTTTAGGGTTTAGGGTTTAGGGTTTAGGGTTTAGGCTTGGAGTTGGGGCTGTGGGGGCTGGGGCTGGGGCGGAGACTGGGCTGGGCTCGCTGGGGCACAGTTTGGACTTTGAACCCTAAACCCCAAAACCCTGAACCCTAAACCCCTAAACCTCTAAACCCTAAAACGAGGCTGATTTTTAAACCAGTCTTGCTTGATGAAACTCAGGTGCATAAACATCAACGGGTGAGCACAGAACCTGACACGATAGAAAGCCTCAAGGGGGACTCCGGTTCCAGTCTTGACCAAGACGGACGGCAGCCTGTCCGTCGGGGACAGACCGGTGGTGATGTAGAGGTAAGCGAGGCACTCATCTCTGGATAACTTGTTCACGAACACGAGCGTGAAGAATGATGGCAAGATATTGTGCAGCCAGTCACACAGGTGTCCGGTCTTAGCTTGAAGTCTCTGACTGACAACAAATGATTGCTGCTGCTCCTGGGCAGCCATCGTCTCGGAACGCCCGCGGCTTTGGTTTTTCTCGGCCTGGTGCATTGACATGGCTTTTCGCTCTGATTCTATCAAGGATTTGAAAGTGCTTCACAAATGAGGCCTTTCCGTACCACAGCCGAATCGAACGGTCCTGTGAGGACTCCAGGTCCCGGTACTCCTGCCAGATCGATCACTGTCATTATGAATGTCCTTTGTGGGGCCCATACCGCAGCCTTGGCTGCAGCCAGAAATTCTTTTCGCCACTCTGCCTGCACGGATCATGATGAAGCCATGCATACAAGACACTGGCAACAAGCTGATCGATGTGTAGCTACTCGAGTAGCATTCCACATTGGTGGTGCCGCAGCCCCGATTGCTCCTGAGAGGCATGCCGGCCGTCTTGCCGTGCATCTTTGCCTTCCCTGCCGCCGTCGGCTCGTCCCCAGGAGGGTTCAAAGGTGAGCAAACACAGCCACTCTTTATCTATTTTTCTCGAGGATTTATATAGGGTTTAGTGGTTTAGGGTTTAGGGTTTAGGGTGAAGGTTGTATAGTGTAAAGTTAAGAAGTGTTCAAGGGTTTGGGATGTAAGGATACTTATAAGTTTAGGCCTTTGGGGCTTGTAGAGCTCAGAGATTAGGGTTCAGGTTAAAAAAGCGGTTTAAGGTTTAGGGTTTAGGGTTTAGGTTTTAGAGTGTTTAGGGGGTTTAGAGTCTCGGGTCTAGGGTCTAGGGTCTTGTATGCATTACGCCCACTTGGCAAGACTCAACCCTGCGTCCCACCACCCAAAGGCTAAAGCAAAAGGAGAAGACTCGACACCCAGAAGCCCAACAGAGTTGAAATTCCGAAGGATTCCTTTCATGTATAGTAGAAGCCAGAAGGTTGGAACATGATTATCCTCATGCCCTTAAGGTAATCCCACCCCAAACCCTAAACCCTAAACCCTAAAACCCTAAACCCTAAACACTAATCCCCCTAAACCCATGCTCCAACTTTCTGGGATTCGCTTGGCGATGGCATGATAGACCCCAGAACATCAAGGCCCCGATGTTAAACTCTAGACTGCTGCTTTTAAGGTTTAGGGTTTAGGGGTTTAGGGTTTAGGGTCTAGGGTCTAGGGTTGAGGGTTTAGGGTTTAGGGTTAGGGCCTGATGTCCTACCCGCCTGCGCGAGGGGTTTTTAAAAGCTAGGGGCCCTATGGGATAACGGGATAACGACACAGGAACTACAAGGACATGTTCAAAATCAGTACCCATTTTTCTGACCCCTGTACTCGGGCTATTTTAAAGCCGTGTAAAGTCCCTATCAAAGCCCTGAAAACGGAAACCTCAATTGCCTGAGCCACTATTTTCAGTATTTCATTCTAAGTCCTCGACATAGCGATCTCGACCTTCCCTAAACCCTAAACCCTAAACCCTAAACCATAAACCGGATTCCAAGAACCTAAGGATGCAGTACCCGTATAGTAGACTTAGACTGTGGGGCTTCTATAATGGCAAGTACTATCAATGTTTGGGCAAGCAGCCCGCATATAATATCTACGCCGGACCCTGTGGAAGAAGACAATTTAAAATTTTATGCCTTCAAACCTTAGTAGATCTTTCAAAATGTCCAAGCTTATTAAACATGGTCATCCCGAATAAAGCCGGACTAAACTCCAATACACCCGACAACCCTAAACCCTAAACCCTAAACCGAAGGAACTCCAAGGAATCCCCTAGTACATCGAAGAACTCCGAATAAGCCTTTTTCGGCAAAGCATCCCCGATGAAGACAGGGGTGTCTCGGAACCTGCCGCGCTCTGATTAGGTTGAGGGGAAGGGCCTTTCTGAGTTTAGGGTTTAGGCTTTAGGGTTTAGGGTTTAGGGTTTTAGGGTTTAGGATGGTTTAGTGTTTAGGGTTTCTACAAGGCTTCTCAAAAAGTGCTTGTAAGGTTTCTACAGACATTTATGTGGTTGACACAAAGGCCTGAATAACTGGAACAGAGTTAGTGTAGGGGCCTACATAATTACCTACACTAATTTGGTGGGTTCCTTATCATAAATATAGTCTAATATACCCCAAAACCCTACTCTAAATATGAAGGCCCCCATATTACTTCGGAGGCTCCTTCGCATCCTTCAGTGGGTTACTTTTCGAGGTACTGGGACTTAGGGCTTCGGGTTTGAGGGTTTAATATAGGGGCCTGAGTAATTCGACGAAGGTTTGGGGTGTAGCAACTTATGATTGTAATTGGGGGATATAAAGTGATATTATTCACTACCCCGATCCCTGTACGCTTAGAAAGTAGGGTGTAGGGCTTAGGGTACTCATCCCGAAACCCTAAACCCAAAAAATGACACCTATGAAAGCACATCAACTCCGATGAGACTGTATAAAGCGTGACCAAAATCAAAAACACTACGCTCTAAACCCGCAAGCCCGAAACTGTCCAATGCTAAACCCGCAACCCTAAACCCTAGATCCTAAATCTTACACTCTAAGCCCCTAGTTCCCCCTGCGGCCTCTCCCGGTAGATGCTGAAGAACTGCGGCTCCAGATCTCTCGCGGGGTTGTTCGTGTTGAAGCTGTGCCTTGGGGTTTGCAGGGTTTTGGGGTGAAGCCTGGGGTTATGAGGCTTTAGGGTTTTGGGGCTTAGGGTTTAGGGTTTACGGGTTTAGGGTTTAGGGGTTTCGAGTTGGATTTAGGGTTCAGGGTTGTGGGGTTGTAAGAACCCCTACTCCTCCTAAGAGTCCACCATGCAAACTGAATAAGCAAACCCCAAACCCTAAACCTTAGACCCTAAACCCTCAGAGCTCGGGGCCTTAGGCCTGGGTCTCGAAACGGCAGGGCACTTCTGAACCCCAAAACCGAAGGCCTAAATCGCCAGCTTTAAAACCTGGTTTAGGGTTTAGGGTTTAGGGGTTTAGGGGTTAGGGTCTAGCGTTCCAAGCCCTAAACCACCCTAAACCCTAAACCCGAAGGGCTTAGGGTTTAGGGCCAGCCCTAAGGCTTAGATCTTAAACCCGAAGGCCTTAATCCTGAGCCCTCAATCCCCAGCTCTAAGTCCTGAAAGCCTTAAACCCTACATTACGTACCCTAAACCCTAAATCCCTAAA